AAAAGTTAATAAAAATGGCACAACTAAAGCCTCAGTTGATGGATACCTGTTGGTCAAGAAAGGTTGCGATATCTGTTGGATGAATATCCTTCACATTGAAAGAACACAGAGCAGCACGGTAACAACTATTTGACGGCTTCGGCCCATATATGCGAATATCAGGAACAGTACTCAGCTTTTCATATAAATAATTAGCCAACTCCACCTGTAATGACAAAGTTAGAACTAACTGCATTAGAGACCTTGATCTCTTGTAGGAGGTGAGGTGTATAAGGTAATTGCCCCCTCTGGGGCTTAAAACTGGGTCTCCCCTAAGTACTAGACCACATGGGCTAGAGCCCCTGTCAAGAACAATAAACAGAGAAGTGCTGCCGAATTACCCTTTCCCATCGGTTTATGTCCAATCATGATTCAATATAATTAATGCCTAGGTTTAGTCAATTAGGTAAACATCAGGTGTCCTTCCTTGCAGACAAGGAGACTCGGAAGTTATAATTAGATCCAAGTGCAGGAATCTCTAACTCTGTTTTACAGTGCACATGGTGTTTCAGGCTATTATGCCTTCTGTCATACAGCATTTATTTGCTAATTCCACAACTAACACTATTGTGGTTTGGATGGCTTCTGTTCTACTAGCTCTTTCCTGTTCAAACACACAAATAGAGATATGAAAGTTCATTTAAACAAACATCCCTTCAAGGGGTTCCCTCCGTGTCTCCCTAATGATATTTAACAGGCAAACTTTGCTGTTATCTTCTTCCTCAACTTAGTCATGTTCATCCAAAGAATTAAACCAAAAATAAATGAATTGTGTTGGGAAAAACAAGACGAAAAAAGAAGTTCCAGCCATCGGGAGCAAGAAAAATACTATTCATAACCAAATAATCTCGTGCTCAATTTGTCACACCTAAAATGTGTCTCCCAATGGATTTTCTTGGTAAAACTTACCTGATCCTCCAAGTAAGAACCATATGGAGCAGGTCGTATATCATCTTATACAAGTACAGATACAGCATTCAGAGTAGATGAGAATGTACAAGTTCATAGCAACTTAGATGGTAGTTATAAATTCAGGCCCAAGCCTTCGCCGATCAGTGACAGAAGTCTCCTTCAGGGATCTAAATATCAGGAGTTCTACTTCTGTCACTTTTCCTAGGGACAATAAGAAGAAAGATGCTTTTATGTTGTCATGGCCTCCAATGCACATAACATAAAAACTACCTACCCTCCTCACCAAAGATTTGAAACCACATATGAAAAAAGATAAAGATTTAAAAAGAAAATGGAACTTACTTCATACTCATGAATCTTCTGCATGCCAATCTCTGATAAGTAATCAACTGCTGCTCCTAGTGCAATTGTTTCACCTATTGCAGGCGTTCCCGCTTCGAATCTATAGTCCAATATGAGCAAGTCAGAACAAAGACATGCAACAGCATTACCAATCTATCGTACCTTTCATTTAATCAGAACGCCAAACAAACAACACCTGTGTAATGCTTAAATTGCTGTTGAAAATACTAGAAAAACAAAATTCAAGCACAGGAACAATTCCACAGAAAGTCAACAAACAGCAACCATAGATTATATTAAATTGTTCTTTTATTATATAGTTTAAAGTATACGTTAAAAACAAATTCAGAACAGAGAAGAGGATGCCCCTTAGAAGCAACTAGACAATTTTTTTGAGAGAGAAAAAGAGAAAGAGTCCACAATAAAAGGGTTCCAAGGGGTGTCCCTCCCTCACATAGAGCAGGTATTCTGGAACTTTTACTAATTTTCCATAAAAAGTGTAAATCCTGCATTTTCTTTCTTTCTTTCTTTCTTTCTTTCTTTCTTTAATCAGTGCTTTGCATCCCCTCGGCACTCTCTTATATTTACTTTTTTCCAAAAAGGATGAAGTACTCCTAGCACACTCATGTCTTTCATGAAATTAATCAAGATGAGTACAGATCCACTAACCTGGATGGAGGTTCTGCATAAGTAGAATGATCAAGAAAAACATCAGAGATCATTTCTCCACCCCCTAAAGAACAAATAAAACCAATATTAAGATTGGCTTCAATGGCTTAGTAGATGTAGGTATTAAAGCAAATATAAGGTTCATAATAGACAGGTTTGTCCTAGTTGCTAACAGCTTACCCAAAAATGGAGGCATAGCAGACAGGAGATCACTCTTACCATACAAGAATCCAATGCCTGTAGGCCCACACATCTGAAGCATGTTTATTCCTTAACTTCATAGATTTTCAATATGGCATAAATCCGAGTATTAAGTCAATAATCTAACCTTGTGAGAAGAAGCCACAAGAAAATCAGTATTAAGGCTCTGGACATCAACGACCATGTGGGGAACACTTTGACAAGCGTCGACAAGAACTTTTGCCCCAACAGCATGAGCCCAAACCACAATCTCTTCTACAGAAAGAGCAGAAGCTGAAAAAATAAAGCCGAATGAATTAATTATCATTCTCGTTTTTTTTTTTTTTTTTTTTTTTTTTTGGTTGGGGGGATCAACAAAAGTGGCAGACTCTCACCCGAAAATATCAGGAGGACCCAACACTAAATGCACTAAAAGGAAAAATATTTGTAAAACAAAGTAAGCCTTCCATTAGAATGCACTTGATGAGAATAGATTTACTGGTACACATCAAAGTGAACATCCAGTGCCATAAGAATAATAGCCACTTAAAAGCAACATCTCATACCACAGGTAAGAGATATTAAATCTTGAATAGCATTTTTCTTTCCAATCATTATGATTTTATACATCTCTCAATCACCCATATAACAAATCCTTAAATATCATTCTTCTAGGGACATAAATGAGGAACTCACAAGAATACTTCTCAAAGACCCTTTCAGAATTTACTTTACAACAAGCATCTATATATTTGTTCACATTCGTGCCAGCAGCACATAGGTAAACTTATCTCGTTGCGCTTCTTTCCACTCATCCTATACTAGTGTAACCACTATTTTTTGTTAGATTCATTTCTAAAAGGTGATGACCCTCAAAATATTAAGGTTATCATTTCAACTATACTTCTCAACCATATTGACAATAACAATTTGCTTTAAGTATGCAGGTGTAGTTGTGCACTATCTCCCAATAGTTATATTACGTGTCATCATATTATTGAGCCCCAGCCACCTCTTTCTCCACTGGAATGTAACTTGGAGATTATGTCCTAGAATTATACGAATTTTGAGATAGGTTTGTCCCATCTTGTGAAGTCTATACTAGTCCTCTTTGTGCACTTCTGGTAGGAAGGAACAAGGCTCATGATCTTTTCAGAGGTCTCTTTCCTATTAGTTTTTGGCTTCTATTTGGGTTAAGGCTAGTGATCTTTTCACAGGTCTCTTGCCTATTTTGCAAAGGGACCTGGGCTATTATCTTGTATTGATTGTCCTTTCCATTTTTTTTTCCTTTGTTTCTATCGTTTCAAGGTTGCTGCAGAAGGATTCCTCATTCTCCTTTTTGTATTATTCTACACTCTCTTCCAAATAATATTTCTCCTTCATATAAAAAAACTTAAGACCTAAGGTTTTCTTTCCTTTTTTGGTAATTTACCCTTCTAGCCTTCAAATACCCTAGATAAGGAGAGAATGAGCATTGTATTTTAGCTGTTTATTTTTGGAAATTAATGACACTTCCATAGAAAATTTCCCCCATGAATTCCATGTCAGCATTCAGAAGATTCAACCCTGCTGCCTGATTAGTTTAACAGGTTAACCATAGTTTCAATCTTAATCTTTTCGTGTAAAGAATAAATTACTGCTACTGACATCTATGAGCAAGCTTAATTAATCATTAATGAAAAAATTCTCAGATCAAATGCAAGTTCACCCATAATAACCTCCTTGCAATTGGAAACTCATAAATGCAAACAGTTCCATATTAACCCATAAGATTTTGCAAGTATACTAAGATCTGAAATCCAAATCATAAGTAACTTTTGGCAAGCAAAGTTTAGAAAATTGAAATTCATCCACCAGAAACTTTTGACTAACAGATAACAGCAGTTAATATTTAAATGTGATCAATTGCTGCAAGTGAATATATCAGTAAGGAAAAAGAAAGTCAGCATAAGAACTAAGAATACTGAGGCCAAAGGAGCCTACCCAGGACATTCGAGACATGATGGACGACTACAATTTTTGTCTTCTTTGAAAGCATTTCTTTTAAGTTTTCTATATCTGCTACTTCATCTTCATTCAAATTAACAAATTTCAGAACAGCACCGGTCTTTTGAGCTACAAGTTGCCAAGGGACAATTGCACTATGGTGTTCAGCCACTGTGAGTAAGATCTGCCAATAACTTATTTCAGTCGGAAGCACAAGTACATTAAGAATATATAGAGAACTTTGATGGGCCAAAATATCAGGCAGGCAGAATTGACCATAAATAGAGTACCAGTAAGAGCAAAAAAATATGGATGAGAAACAAAAACAATAGCCTTTTCAAAGAAAAAGTGAAAAAAAAAAAAAATCTCCCTTTAATAACCTGAATTGTTTTTTGTTGGCATTACCCAAGACCTACAAAAGCACCTAGAACTTTCACGTTAAGGTTTTTCAAATTTGTATTAATATCCCAATTTTTTTATTGGAATCTCTCTTCCTTAATGGTCCAAAAACAAAATGATTAAAATCTCAAAATCAGTGAGCTCAATAATTACTAACTGGCAAACAAATACTGCAGTAAGTGATACCAAAACCAATTGAAAGTTAAAAAGTCATACAAATTCATATTTGGTTGAACATACATAGCTAATAAGTAGGATCAACGAAGGATATAAAATGTTGTCATCCAAAAGCTTCTAAATCATTATTTTTTTTCCTTTTCTGAAGGATCTGAAACTTTACGAGTTCTTATTATTTACATCACAAATCAATATGTACTAATCAGGCATCATATATCAAACTGCCAAGTAAAGAATTAAGAAGTTGCTGTCTGAAAATCATGATACTCAAAACCAGGAGCAGATATTTCTGTTTCTTTTCAATCTTTCCCCCTTCTCAACATCTTCTAAATTTCCTGTGAAGGGCTGTGCTAAGAGTTGGCACAACCAATTATACATTCAAGAACAAAGAATTAATCCGAAAAGCCGAAAGTGAGCTATTTTGGCCCTAGAAAGCTACTTAGTAATCTCAAAATGGCTCATCTATTAAAAGAATAACTTCACTCAACTTTAAACATATAGGAAACAATGTCGAGGATATACAAGCTTACATATAAATTCAGCTAGTAAAATTATAGAATTTCAACAGCAAGAAATAAATGTTGAGATTTACACAGGCAGTTTGACCAAACAAAAAAATAACTAAATTTCCTTTGGGAACAAAAGAAGGGTGAAAAAGAAGTGCCATTCTCTCATTCAATTCACAGTAAACAAGTATAACGAACAACATGATAGAGTTTTTTTTTTAAAAATAAACAACATGATAGAGTTATAAGTAAAGTAGACCTCATCTCCAGATTTTAAATTCGTGAGACCCCAGCTGTAAGCTACCAGGTTGATGGCTTCGGTAGCATTCCTTGTAAAGATAATCTCCCTAGATTCTGAGGCATTGATAAAAGAGGCCACCTTCTTTCTAGCCAGTTCATACTCATCAGTTGCCTTGGCGCTATATTCACAAGAGATGCCAACGAACAACAAAACTATTTAAATCTGATGAAACAATTGAAACAGAGCAAAATAGAAAACTACGCAGGAAAAGAAGAATATTAAAGTCAAAAGTATAATACTTATGCTCTCCCTGCAGATAAAGCACATTTCCTATCTATAGTTCATACAAATCCAATACCTCAAGTAATGAACCCCTCTATGCACATTTGCATTATAAGCTTCAAAATAATTTTGTAAAGCCTTCAAAACAACAGTAGGCTTCTGAGAAGTAGCAGCATTGTCCAAGTAGACAAGCTTCGAGCCATTTACCTCCTGCACGATCACAAAATAGTCAGAGCTTTCAACATATCCTGCATGATATGTGGTTTTATGCAACGAAAACAGAACTCTGCATCTCTTTTCCCTTTTGAGACGATGAGCTCTGCATCTTCAACCACCATGAACAGTGAAATTTCAATATAGAGATATAGAGAGCAAAGAAAATTAAACCCATAATAGAACAGGTGCATAACAAGAAGCTTAAAACTAAAGCACTTATCAGCTCTTTTTTGAAGTAGTTACGAATATAGATAAATATGCTTATAAAAAATAAACACCTAATTGTATTTCTATATATATTATAAATATATGATGAACAAGTTAAAAATAAGAACAAGAATAATAATGTAGTAGACACTTCTAATTACACTACAGAAACAAGCTCAGAAGCAGCTTAGAATTACTAACAGTAACCTGCTTATAAAGATAAACACCTAATTGTATTTCTATATACATATGATAAATATATGATTAACAAACACGTAAAATTATCTTTGGTCTCTAATCAGGCCAAGCACCCTCTGGCATTTTATGGTAGGAGAGTCTTACTGTTAAGCTAGACTTTACAACATTAATTATAATTACTGTGGTTTTAAGCACTACACCATGATGTTTAACATTTGTAATTAAAAATATTAATGTCTAAGCGTTAAGAAGCTGATGATTACCATTAATATCATGACCTCTCAAACTTGATGAATCATTTCACTTTATCGATCATGTATAGCCAGCATCTTAACGTCGAGATAAACACTCCAAATCACTGAAACGAATTCCCAATATATATACATATATATATATATATTATATCTAGTTTTTTTTTTACTATGTTTATAACTTCATAATCGATGAAATTCCTTTCCATCAATTAAATTTAATTAACTTCAAAAATAAATTTCAAACAGCCACGAAATTGTTTTCATTTCTCTCTCTAACTAACTTCCCAAGCCATTCGTTCCAAACAGTTCATCTTACACATACAATCACCAATAGCGAAGATTTAAAGACTGTAAAAAAAGTATCACAATCAGCAACATGAAGACTGAGAAAGAACAAGGCAGCACTGAATCGTTTCTACGGCGATAAAGGTTAGAAAAGAAGAGAAAACCTGGTGGAGGATTGGAAAGTCGCGCCGAGTAATGTGACCAAGCGAAACATATCCTACCTCGCGGTCGCCTTTCTCGGCAGTGGAGGCTGACACAGAGAGGGAAGCAGAGAATCGACGGAAGCCGAACCTAACCGGAGGAGATTCCGAGAAGTAGAAGTGAGATGAACGAATTTGAAGGAAGGGAGTTTCAGAGCCACCCCTTCCATGTTCGATAGCAAAGTGGAAGAAAGCTCCGGGAGAGCAGGAAACGAGTAGAGCGTCGCTTGAACCTATCGGTTTATCCATCAAGAGCTTTTAATGCGCTCATTTAAATTGTAGGTTCCTCGAAATTATTATTATTTTTTTAATTTTTTTGAACAAAAAATATATAACATTTTTTTAAAAAAATAAATTTTTATTTTTATTTATTAATTATTTTATCAAATATTTTTTCAAAATAATTTAACGTTTTATATTTTATCATCAATTAAAATAATATAAAAATAGATATAAAATATGCTGCGAATATATTAATTCTGGTATCCGTCATGATTATCTCACTAAATTTAATATTATTAATTTAAATAAAATATCAAATCAAATAATAATAATAATAATTAATATTAAATGTTTTAATTAAAACACAATTATATATATTTTCTTAAAATAAAAAAATGGAAATATAATTAAAAATAAAAAAAAATAAGAAATTAAAAATGAAAAATTAAACAAGTGGGCGAGAAGGCACATTATCGTGTGTGTGTGTGTGTGTCCCGCTGTGCTTGGATGTACGTTGAGTTTGATTTTGCAGAATTTATATATATTATATATATATATATATAAAGGCTCTGCATGCTTTTTTTTTTTTTCTTTAAAAAATGTTTTTCTAATCATACTAATTAGGTTTCTGAGTTTAATTATGAATTTTAATACTTACTACTGCATGCATATTTTCCTAATTATACTCAAAATAAGACTATCTTATAGTGTTAAATTCGTAATTTTAGTATGATGTATGCAAATTCTACAGTTCAAAATTCCCATAATTTTTTTCTAAAAAAAAATCTACCAAAGAATAATAAATATTTATTTTAATAAAATTAAATTAATATAATTCAATTTTAATAAAAAATTAAGCACATATTATAAAATAACCCGTTATTCGGTAGTGTCTATTTCTCATATGATATCATATGTTCGGAGTTCAATCACCTCTACTCGAACCGAAAAACAAAAATTGTCAAAAACAATCTGCAAAATAAATGGAACATCATTTACTTTTTATTTCATTAATTATTTTTTTTTGTTAGAAAATTGATATTTTTTTTTTATTTATAAAAAATTATAAGTTCAAATTAGAATACATATTTTGTACTCTACATTTTGTACGTCATTATTAGAAAGTTTTGACTAAATAATGATAATTTTCTTCGTCTATAAAAAATTATAAATTTAAATCAGATTATGCATTTCGTGTTATACGTGTTATATGATTAGTCTATATGGGGCACCTGATTAGAATATAAAAATTTTTGGTAGACGAGATTTTCTATTCCGTGAACACGTGAAAGGCAAATTTGATATGATTAATCTATATGCGGCACCTAATTAATGAGTACAAGAATTTTTCGATAGACAAGATTTTTTAATCCTTGAACATGTGAAAGGCAAATTTGATATGATTGTCTACTCAACTATACTGTACATACAGTAATATGAAACAAGTCCCTCGGACCAAATTCATTCCATGAACATGTCAAAAGCAAATTTGATGTGATTATTTGTTTACTCAGCTATGCTGTACGTACAGTGATATGAAACAAGTCCCTTGGACCAAGGCCTTCATAACTTCAAAAAGATATTCAATGGCCTTTCCAAAATTTTTATCATACGGCCAATTTGGGAGGGCAGGCAAAGTAGGGTAGCGAAACTCACCAGGAAAAAAGGCAAGGAAAGAAAGATAACAGCTACTGCTATTTCAATGGAGGAAGCAAACTTGCATACATCCTCTCCATGCGAGATGTTACAATGAGCTTAGAAGCAGTTGGCAAGCCAGGCTTCCCTAACTCAATTATATCCTGTTTCAAACTGTTGATATATGATACTGATTAGCTCCTTCTGGAAATAATATACATAAACACAAATATACATGCATGTGCTAGAAAGATAAGCAGAAATGAAAGACTGAAAAGTAGAAATATGTAATGATATTTGACCAAGAACTAAAACTTTCATATGTAAGTACCAGAAAAGTCCCTTATACTTTAACCCTTGTATCAAATTATTTGTCATATGTTTGCAAGAGGGTAAGAGAAAATCATGAAATGACAAAATGATTTGAAGTTTTTAATCATATCCTTACAGTAAAGTTTATTCTAATTCTTCTTTTGTATCGTTGCGGTATCAGATCCTTTTCTTTAAATTTTTGCGTATGGTATTATTTGATACATCTTGTGAATTCAAAATGCAAATATTTTCTTATATTGACCTAAATTTTAATCAACAGTGTACTTTAAATAGATTAAGACTTACTATTGCCATTCTCCAGTTTCATTTGCTTGTCTCTCAGCGGCATGATATAAACGATCAAGAGCATAAATCATCAATCCATATATGCACTGTGCATCTTTTTCCTGAAAGGAAAAATAGAAAGAAAATTATTGTCCTAGTCTAAGTCAGAAAGACTACCAACATGCTTTTGAAGCAAACAGGAGAGCAATGCAGAATGCTTTTACTCTCCATTTCTTCAAATTGTTCCTGAATTACCACAGTACATTGTCTTTTTTTACTTGACAGGCTGCAAAGAAGAACCTCTTATTGTGTTTGGTGTCTTAATCATCTCCCCATAGCTTACGGCTATGTTTGGAATAAATGCATTCCACAAAAACTGAGAAATTTATTTGAAAAATCTACATTTAATTCACATTCTAAACATATGGATTGGTAAATAAAATCCATGAAAAAAAATATAAGTTAGCAAAATTCACACTTTATCTAGAATGTATTTGTCTCAAACATTGTGTAAAAGCCCTTTCACTTTCTAATTGGGACACCCAACATCACTCCATAAGCTTGTCACCAAATCCAACTTTCCTGTCACCTCATTTACTTGCAATTTCCAACTCTCTTCCCTTACATCTTCCACCTTGCTTCCTCTGCCATTCCCTACCCAAGCTATTCAATGAACTTCCAGAGACAATTAAATCTTTCCTCTACATTTCCTCTCCACTTCTAGTTCGTCATTTTCATCCAGGATAATCTATGTAACTAATTAATTAATCAATGAGAATGCAATAAACCTGCAATGTCTACTTCGGTGAAGAGAAAATTAAATTAAAGAATAAAGATCCATGTGCTAATTTAGGCTTCTTACCCGCCCTTGGTCAGCATAAGTTTGGTACTGCATAATCCTCTTCTCGACCTCCACAATGAGAAGCCTGCGCTGAAGCCGGGCAGTTCTTCCTCTTCCTTCAGCTTTAGAATCCTGATTTTACCAATAGAAATTGCTTAAGGAAAATTTTGCAGGACATATTACTTACCCAATTCTGTAACATATGTTTGCTTTCAATAGAAGGTACTATAAAATACTAGACCAAAATCCATTCTCATGCGTCTTTTTTATTAGAATGCTCCAAGAAATGCTACTTCTGTTTTGGAATTCACATTCCTTAAGACTTTCATATCCAGGCTTGGATCATGCCTATCTGTTGACTGCTGAGAACAATTCCAGATTCTATTTTGTAGATGTTCTCTATTTGTCTGGAATCCCTAACACCTAGCAACAAATTATTATAGTTTCATACCAACATAGTTTCCTATCATGGAAATCATGTATAAATACATTTAAATCAGTACAGTAATAATCTATTGAAAAAATAAAGTTAAAATGTTTGAATTACAGTCAACAGAATAATTCCAGATTCTATTTTGCAGATGTTCTCTATTTGTTTGGAATCCCCAACATCTAGCAACACATTATTATATTTTCATACTTATATAGTTTTCTACCACGGAAATCATGTATGAATACATGAACATTTACATCATTACAGCAATAATAAATTGAAAAAATAAAGTTAAAATGTTTCATTTATGCTTTAATATTGAGAAAAAATAAAATTGAAGTGTTTCAATTGAAGAAAGCTATGAACTGAAGCAATGCTATGAACTCCTTCAAACACAAGTAATATTTATAATACCCTATCCTCCAAAAACCACGATGGGAAGATTAGTATGCTCACTGTCTATTTTGATGAATACTAACAGCAATGAATTATATGGAAGAAATGAAGAAGCTCAAGAAGTCTCTAGCTCAAGAATTTGAGATCAAATATTTGAGTAAATTGTATTACCTCCTTGACATTGAGGTTTTCAAATTGGAAAAATAAATTTTCATTTTTGATCGTAAAGACAGTATGTACTCCTTGAAGAAACCATGATACTAGGTTGTAAACCAACAGATTCTCCTATTGAGACAAATCATAAACTAGAAGGTGGAATTAGTATACCAGTTGAGACTGTAAGTATCAGAAATTGGTTAGACAAATGATTCAGTTAGGAACAATGTAGTTCCTTACCCATGATTTATTAAAGAAGGAACAAAATTAATAATCTTCTATAGCTGCTTATATCTGTGTGTAAATCTTTTGTATATGGGTGGTGCCCTTTTGGCACCAACACATTAATATTACTTTATACTTTTATTTAGAAAAAAAAAAAAAACTGCTTAAACATCCGTGTGCATTAGTGGTAATGTTTTTGTATAATAATCATAAGTGTATTTAAACAAGTGGAAGTGTGTATAAGAGTAAGAAAGAAGTCTATTTTTAAGACGACGGTAGTTTAAATAATTCTAAAAATTTTAATTCCAGTTGAACATCTCTTCTTTGTACATATCCTTCCGCTGTGGGAACAGGACAGCATTATGTATGCAATTTGACGTTAATGGAGAGTGTATTCCTCTTCTAGAGATCACAGGGTTCTCTCCATTTAATGAGTCCTACGTATTTTCCTTGAGTTCTAAAGATAGATAAAGGTAGAAAATCAATGAAACATGACATAAATATTTGCACACTCATCAAAAGAATAGGGAGCAGGAGAATCAAAATTGGAATTTCTGGTTGGCCGGTTGGAAGAATTGTCAGCCAGAACAATCCACAAGGTTGTGGGAGAAGGGTGTAGTCAGACAGAATCTATTAGACATTCTGGGAATGGGGGCACAATAGAGGAACTAACCCGAGAGGGAGAAAACCTGTGTGCACTGACCCCACCTCGTGTTTCTTTATTCGAATAGAACTCTTTGACTACTTCCCAGATTTCGAGTGTCATCCCGTACAACAAGAATTTCTTACTGATATCATTTGTTATGGAGTTAATCAGCTACGACATGATTCGATTATTCTCTGTCTTCCAAGTTCAGAACTTTGGATCTTTAGCGCTCAGTTGGTTGACTTCTCTTATGAGGTATTCTTTCCTCCCTCTTCTGCCAATACATCTTGATCAGTTGAGACAATTGAATATAGTTGTTTTTGTTTAGCTTGCTATTGGTGATTAGAATTTGAGTTGCTCCCAATTCGGATTGTTTGTCATAAATAATTCTATTAGATTGAGATGTAACTTCAGAGAGATTATTAGTTTTTGCCGTAATTATTCCATATCCGGTCATTGGCAAGAGAGAAAAAAAAAATTAGGTTTCACAGATCCTATTTTAGTACCATAAAAGTTCGTAATTAAATTTTTTTATTTTCTAAATTTTTATTCATGATATTTAATTTATAACAATTGTACATATATATATATATATATTAGAAAAAGTTTTAGTAGAAAACTAAATAAAACTCGGTCTCATAAAAAGAAAAGAACTTTAGTCATGAAAGTCAATTATAATTCTATTTTATAAAGAGATCTCTCTAAAGTTACCAATTTATATAGGAATTAAACTCCTACAGAAGTCGAATTCCTATAATATTTATATTGTAACATGTGCCCCCAGATGCAAGTCAGTTAGCTGAAAATGTGGATCAAGCACAAGTTTATCCTACTTTATGTTGAATTTAATTACTTAAAAATAGGATGGTGGCTAGGATTCAAATATTTTAGTCTCTATTTTAAACATGTACATTTTAAAAGAAAAAATAATTTTATTTCTCACCTTTTATGTTATTATACTTATGGTATCTATAAAATTTCTATTTACTGATAAGAAAATTTTTATTCTATTAAACTTCTAATTATATGAGATTATTACTCTCATAAAATCCTAATTATATAATATCAACTAATTAAATAATAAATACTAACTAATTAAATAATTAACTAATAAAATATGGTAGTTAGCAAGTCTCCCTCAAGTTGGTGCAGGGATGTCTCTCATGCCCAACTTGCATACCAAGTTCTGAAGAGTCATCCTACAGTTTACCAATGTCAATTCTCTTCCTCATTCGAAAATTTTGATTTTCCTAGATTTGTTGCACCTATACTTGATGAAGAATTAAACTGAGATGAATCTCCTCATTTGAAAAGATTTCAACTGTTGATGTATCAGGTGTTTCACTTCTCTCAACCAAATTTTCTTGAGCTCTCGTAGGTCTATCACTCCTTCTTTCACGACCTCTAGTTGGTTTCCATGCAATTTCCATCAAGTTTTCTTAGTGTGTTTTGACTTGCCACAATAGTCACACTTCTGTAGATTTTTGAACTGTTCAGGTTGAGTAACTAATCAAGTTTTCTCAACTGGTGTTATGTAAAGCATGATATTTCTTTCACTTTCTTTTTACTAGACATACAATATGCATGTTGTAATGAGGGAAGATGATCCTTACCCAGTACTTGGTCCTATATCTGATCATATTCGATGTTCAGACCAGTTAAAAAATTATTAATCTGCTATTGTTCTATTAATTTTTGAAATTTAACTGCATTTTCAGGACAATCTGTCTGAAATTCTTGATAGTAATCTAGCTTCTGTCATAATCCACTCAATTCTGAAAAATATTGAGAAATAGTCATATCTCTTTGTTTCGTGTCATGAAGCTTATTCTGGAGTTCATAAATTTAAACATCATTACCCACTTGTGAGTATGTGAGAGATGTTGCATTCCATATTTTTGTTGCAGTATCGAGTAACAAATATGTCCGTGCAATATAAGGTTGCATGGAATTGATAAGTTAAAAAATTATCAAAGAGTTTTCTGAGTCCCATTTGTTATATTCCAAATCACCTACATTTGATTTCTTCATATCACCTGTGATATACTCCTGCAATCTTCCAACTTTGATAAACAATAAACAAGATCTTTATCAAATAAAATAATTAATTTCATCAAATTTTACGGGAGTGATTTGTAATTAGGGGTTATCCGAATAAGAAACCATCACTTTTTTCGCTTATGTCATTTTAGAGTACTAGAAACACGGAAAAATAATACTCAATAATGAAGAACAGACTTTCTAATCAGCAATAAAAGACGCTTAAAAGTGTTGCAAACTAGAACCAGATGTATTAGGTAGCAGCTCAACGCAATTCAGCTCTAAAACGGCTCGGACTTGACTCAAAAAAGGGCTCGACCTCGACTCAAAAACGAGTCGGCTCAAAAAATGGCTCGACTCAAAAACGGCTTGGTTTGGCACAAATGGCTTGGCTCGACTCGGCTCGAGCTTCGGCTTCCTTGGCTCAAGCAAATCTATAGCACACGACGCAGCCAGAAAAAGTAAAACATATCGTATATGCGATCTTGCGAAGGCATAGCAGCCAACGCGTCTGTGAAGTGAAACAGATCGCGGCCAGAAAAGCTTCCCGTGTGCGGCTTTACGCACGGCAGAAGAAGAAGGCAGTGTGTCTGTGCATCTGTGCGTTTGTGCAACCCAGATGGCCAGAGCTCGAGTTTGTGCGACGCGGAAGGCTAGGGAGTCGCGGCCAGCAGCTTTGTGCTCAGATCGCGGCAGCGGCACGGTGAGGTGGATTTGATACGTGCGAAAGGAGAACATCAACAACCAGTCGTCCCTGCTCCAGATGCGACCAGACCGCAAAGATCAACTACTTCCTCTCTTCCTCTTATCTGGCTCTCTTCCTCTTATTTGACTCTCTTTCTACTCAACCTATTTTTGTTATTTTAGGGTTTGAAAAAAAATCATGAAATTAAAATCCTTAAATAGTTTTATTTGACTCTGAGGTCATGTAGATTTTAAGAGAAAAAATAATTTTATTTTTCACCTTTAATGTTGTTACATTTAACGTATTTATAAAATTCATATTCTACTGATAGGGAAGTTCTTATTCTACTAAACTTCTAATTATATAAAACTATTATTTTTATAAAATCCTAATTATATAATTCCAACTAATTAAATAATAAACTAAAATAATTAAGTAATAAAATATGATAATCAACAAAATACCATGGTAAAATATTAATTATGACCATCTATCTTAAAATGTTTAAGTTGAAAGAAAATATCTATCGCTTTTTTATACATTAACAGCAATGAAGTCTATCCACTCTTTTTACAATATAAGAATGCATGAGGATGAGGCCAACAGCAATTTAAAAGTTAACAACCATTTAATAGAAATAAGAAAACACAAGCATTTTTTTTATGCCCAAGAAACTTTTTTTCCTCAACCACTAGCCATCTAGTGCTGTCAGCTTGCCAAATGCAATGTAGCTGAGGAGTATGTCCACAAATCAAAATTGAATAAACTTTGGCTACCAAAGGTTTAAGATACTTCTTTAACTTACAGGAGTTGGTCTCCCATTTCTTACCTGCTTAAACCATGCACGGACCAACATGACCAGAATAATAAAGAGACTGAATGCTGGCAACGCAGCTAGAATAGCAAAATTGATTTCGTTTGCCCTGAGAATCTGATCAAGTTCAAGCATTGCCCTGTCCAAAAAAAAAAAAGCGGTTTGAAACAACATCACATTCAAATGCAGTTCAGTTAACTATCCAAAGTAACACTTCTTCAACTCACATTTCGATATCCAATTTTAGCTTTTGAACCTGTAAGCCAAATGATTATCACATAATCAGCAACTTTGATAAAAGAAATAAAGAAATAAAAACATAACGTAGCACGTAATACCTGGATGAGCAAAGCACGAGCAAGCTCTCCACTTAGAAGATTATGAATAGGATGAACCATCTCCTTTTCATACCTATACTCAACAGCCGATCAATTGCGATCTTTTCAGGTATAAATTGAGGAAAGTAGCAATTATCATATAAATCAAACAGTGAGAACTGTATGTCAAAATAGTAACAGCAAGATATATCTGATATCTATAACTTTTAAAGTAAATTTTGGTACTAATACTAATCAATAAAAAAAATGCTGAAAACTTCCAAATGTTTATTGATGTAGAACAAATTAGGGTTAATATGCTCACTTGAGAATTTGATAAAAATCTAGATGTAACACTTAGAATTCTTAGGGATCACGCCTAAGATTTGATTCAATAATACAATCAAGTATTGAGAAATTCTTAAATTATTTCGTTAAATAAATCTTAAAAGAGATTACAAAGACAGTAATCCTTTCTCACATAGGATTAAACTGAAAAAATAATAATGCTAACAAGATTAAAAATACTGGTCCAAATAAAGATAGAAAAATGAAACACAAAAAAGCTGGAAAATATAAAAATAAGTTGAACAATATTATTCTTAGATGGTAGATTATCATTATGCCTATGCGCCACTATTTATGCAGAGAATTAATTCTATTTAGAGCAAAGTAGAGTCCTCACCAACTCATTTTTCCTCTCTTCCGTTACATACAAAGAAGGCCAAGCTATCTTTAATCAACACAAAAATCAATTACAAGTTTCAACAGCTTTGTTTCATTTATTTCTCAGTCACCATCACTACACATACCACTCCTTCCGCACACATATGATACTCCCAATACCTACATAGTTAATAGACCAATGTTTTTTCTTCTTGAAGACATTATATCAAGCCTTTCCAAATAAACAAGTATGTGGCAAAACCAACATCACAGTGTAAAACACCATTGGTTAAATAACTAGTGATATGGGTATCGCACCTGGCCATAACTATTTCAAGCATTTCTTGATCTGATGCATTCTCAAGGAAACGTGGCCCCATTGTCTGCTCACTGAAAGCCCGCAACATTCTGTTTGACAATAAAATAAAATGTATGCCAAAAAGATCAAGTTAAATGAAAGAGAAATTTTTTGCCAAATCAGAGACATCTATATCCCGTTCCATCATTCATCAGTTATTTACAATTTATTATGAAACAGGACATCCTTCAAAAACAGCCAAAAGAATTGTAGGATGCAGAAGAAGTTTGTTGGCTAAAAGTTCCACTAATGCTGATTCTTTAAAGAAAACCAGCCACTCAATATGTCATTGCTGCATTAAAGGTAGTCCCTTGAGTTTTCTTCTTTCCAATGAAATTAATAAGGGGACACAGTGAAACCTAATAGGCTACACCTAATCATTCTCAAAACAATATAAATTAAATACACCTAAGAATGGCAAGTCAATTTAGGCTGAATTCGAAAATGCATCAATAAAGCAAGACTTCGGGGTAGCTGTCTCTCTAGAAGGATCAAATTTCTTTCCCTTGACATTGCTAGAAATTAAATAAAAAAAAAAAAAAAAAAGAACCTAGAGGTACTTGTAAAGATAATTTTGTTCTGGAATTGTCACTATATGTAAATCTTCTTTCCCAATTTGTTTAGCAGGTACTTCAGACTGAGCCTGCTTTATTAGGAGAAGAGAGAGGAATGAATTTCTTTTACATAAAAGAATATTATTGAAAAAGGAGAAAGAAATTACAGAATAGATGGTTGTATAAGATATTGTACTGCCAAAAAAAAAAAGAAAACAAAGGAAACAAAAGATAACAAAGAAGATGCAACAAAGGCAAAACCTCTGCAAAGCAGACATGAAAACCCGTGAAGAAACAATGGGCCTCACCCCAAAAAAGAAGCAAGGAAGACCACTCTTTTTGAAAGAATATGAATTGATTGAGATTGCTTTATGAAGATTTTAGCATTCTGCTCAAAACAAAACACCTATTCTCCGCCACAGCACACTATGCCCGTTCGATCTTCCAAAACAACAAAAACATAAAGAAATAAAGATCTTCAAGTCAAGAGGGCATATCCACAAACAACAAGATTAAGTTTCATACTGGATAAGATAGTAGTAGGGTCGGTAAAGTAGTTGAGTAGAATAACAAAGCTACTTATGGGTAAGATTCTTATCCGACAGCATGTTTGGAACAACTGCATGAAAAATTAGTATAACACAAAAGACAACATCATCTCATTTTAATTCATATTAATAATGATGGTAATGGTGGTGGCGATGACACTAATAATCACAGCAATAGTAACAATGATGAAGATGATGGCACCGGTAACAGTGACAGTTACAACAACAATTGTGGCAGCCGCACTAATGACGACAATAGCCACGGTGATGATAACAGCTGCAATAATAATAATTGCACAACAACAACGACAAAAACATTAGTAACAATAATGGTAGCAGAGATGATAGAAGTGATGGTAGGGACCGCGACAGTAACAGCAACAACAAGGGAATGGCAATAGTAGTGATACCGACCGTGGTGAGATGACAATGATGGAGATGGTGGAAAAACATTGACAACAGCAGTAACAGCTGTAGTGAAAATAATGACAGTGATGGTTGTGAGATGGGCCTCTGGTGGAGGTGGCTATGGCAATGGCAATGACAACATAGCATTGGCGGTGGCAACAGTGAGGATGGTGATTATAACAACATTAAGGGTGGTAGGGGCAGCCGAAAATTCAGGTGGTGGTTGTGGTATCTTTTCTAAGGGATAAAAGTTGAAGGAAAAAATAACATTTTAGTCTTTTTGGGGCAATATTTAGGTGGTTAGTGATTACTCGCCTCTCCGACCATAGCCCATAGGATGAATAACACTATCCATTCTAGGTAAGTTATGTCTTATACTACTCATAGAAAACTTCTCTCCCCAATATTAGATAGGATAGGATGAGTAGTTTTACTCACTTTTTACCGTACCTAATCCATCATACCAAACAATAGGGTTCTGCAAGAAAACCCGATAACCGACCCAAACCACAGAACTGAATCGTTCCGATTGTGCATGTGTTGCATAAAAATGTCGGCATGTTATTTACACTCAGATTACACGTCATAAGAGGAAGAGAATGTCCTTCCCATTCAGTAACATGCTCAACAGGATTCCCATGAATTTTAAACCAAAAGTTAATAAGTTGAAAATATCAGCCAGAAACTAACCGGTGCAGTGAATTAACAGTCAACTGTACTTCTTCATTATTCATCACACCTTTGTCCCTCTTCCGGAATGTCTCAAAAAGGTCATCTCTGATGGAAAGGACCTGATTACAAATCAAGTTATTATGCATTACTCCAAAAAGTTTGCAGATTTTCCAACTTAAATCATAAAATTACAAATAATACCAGTAGAAGCGAGACAACAAGTTGCTCTAGAAAGGCATGGCTAGGAACTGGCAAGAAGTCTAAGTAATAAATTATACTCCTATCAGGAAGTAAATCAAAAATGATTTATCAATTAATTGTACATCCTCGATATACACATGGAAGAGCTCCTGAGCACATTATACATAATAAGATAATAACCAAGATGACTGAACATTAAGGGAAAAACTTTATTTTGAACAGTCAAAGCAAGTCAAAATGTTGCATCATGTCAAGTGATCAGGTAGCGATCTTCTTATTTGCTAACAGATGAAAAGTTCCTTACAATTAATTTACATGCCAAATCTAGTTTCCATCGATATCTAAGTGTGATCAACTCTGGAAACTTGATAGAAAAAAAGCATGGTATGACAAAAAATCAAATCAGATTTTATAATTTAGATTGAAAAATAAACTAGTGATGAATTAGGTTGTAAAAATCAATGTGGCTTAGATAATAAGTATTGTTAAGTTTAAGGTGGAGGGGACAGTGGATATTTAGGACTGCGAGCCCATAAGGTTGGTGGATTGTATCTGCAAGCTTATTGCTGAGGTCCTTGCCAAGAGATTAAGTACAGTGATTGGCAAAGTTGTGGAGGAAGTCTAACAAGTTCGTGGAGGGGCGCCAAATTCTTGAAGGTTTTCTCATTGTGAATTAAGTAGTAGATTCCATTAGTAAATTTAGGAAAAGGGTTCTTTTATGCAAGCTAGACATTCAGAGGGCTTATGATAATTTTTCCCAGTCATTCCTGCTATACTAGTTGAGGAGAATGGTTTTGAGCCTACTGCTGCAAAATGATTGAAATATATATTCCTACTAGGGTCTCAGGCTAGAAGATCTTTTGCTTTCTTTTCTATTCATCTTGGTCATGGAGGCTTTTCACATGATGCTTCTTCAAGCCATGGCTCGCAATTTCATTAAATGTTAAGAGCAGAGATTCTAGAAAGAGATCACTCATTTGTTCTACAGACCTAATATCAATTTCTTGATGAATATTAGATGCATTCTTACTTGATTTGAAGCGGTTTTCTAACTCTTGTATTAACTTGGATAAATCAGAATTGGTCTCTTTTAGTGTGATGTGGAGTTGGAGGGATACACTAACACCTTGGAGTGTCAAGTCTTGACCCTCGCTATCTAATATCTTGGCTTACCCTAGGTTCTAAATCCAAAAACATTATTATTTGGGATCCTATTATTAGCAAGATAGAGAAGACATTCTCTTGTTGGAAGATTTACCTTTCTAAAAGTGGTAGGCTTACTCTTACTAAAAGTACTCTCTCCAACCAATCCACCTATTACCTTTTTCTTTTTCCTACGCCTAGTAGTTTTGTTAAGAGGTTAGATAAAATGCAAAGCCAATTCTTTGTGGAAACACTGAAAAACTGAGATGATACCATCTTGTGGCTTGGGATATTGTGCAAAAAGGCCAATTGCAACGAGTATCTTGGCATAAGATCTTTCTCTATTATGAACAAAGCTTTCGCGGCCAAGTGGCTTCTGAAGTTTATCTTATTGTATAGGGAGGTAATTTTGTCAACTATGAGTTAGATATCCGGGTTTGGAAGTTTACTAAAACTGGCTCGAGTTGTAGTATTAGTCTTTATAAGTGGATTAGCAAGGACTTGAGCTATTTCTTCAACTAAGCTTTTGGGCGAATAGGTGGCGTAGGTGGAGACCATTCGAGGTGAGATTTTGTATATCCTTGCTATTACTGGGATAAGGATGCTACAGTTAGTGACGTTGCAGTCAGAAATGGCACTTTACCTCTAGTGTGGAACATCCAGTCATATGAACCTTCAGTGACTGGGAGATTGATAATATGCCATCCCTTCTGACTTTTCCAAAAACATGGCCTTTTGATCCTGGTGATTGTGGTTCCCTTTGTGGCCTTTCACTAAGAATGGAGTGTTCTCTATGAGATCCTTTTACCATAATCTTTTCTCTGAGAATGAGGTAGCCACAAGATTCTGGTAGAAGCATCTTTGGAAGGAAAAAGTGTCCCTCTCTTTGTCGTTCTTTTTTTGGAAGGTGCTTGGTGCAAAATTCTTACTTCTGATAATTTAAGGAACCGGGGTAGACTCATTGTTAATGGCTGCCTGATGCCTTTGAAAGAGAGTGAATCCCCCAATCATCTCCTCTTCTATTGAGGTTAGAAAGCCATGGGATTTATCCCTTTTCTTTTAGAAGTAAAAAGTGTATTAAAATGGCACCAAGTTATGGGATTTATCTTTATCCTTAACATATTCTAGGTGGAAAGTGGTTTAATTGCAGACAAATTATTATTGGCTTGGGTTGGCACTGTGGTGTGTGTCCAGGAGGAAGGTCATCTCTCTTCCAGTGGCTATATGCAGAACCTTTAGAAGGAAAGGAATAGGAGGGTTCTATATGGCATTAAATCTTCTTTTGCTAGCTTTAAAGATTTGTTTAGTAGTTGGCCTTTGTTTTCGAAGAGTACTTTGAGACCTTATTGACATTTTGTTTTCTTGACCTTATTCAGTTTTTGTAATTGGATGGCACCCCTTAGTCGCCCTTTTAATATATTTCACTCTTTTTTCTTCTTAAAAAAATAATATGTTAAGTAGTTGGAGCATAAATAAAGTAGCAAGGAAACTTCAGATTATTGTTTGGGATGCTCAGTACCAGTTTGTCTTTGTTTTATATGAAGACCATGATACCAACAATTTTTAGATTAGTAAAGGTTCTAATATCAACGGGACACAAATTTTGGAAAGAGAATACATTTTACATAGTGAGAAGTACATAACAAAGATCATTACCTTTTTGAACGGAAGGAATCTTCTGTTTGTCAAAGGGTAAGATCACTTAATATGACTTACATTTGACATGACATTTATCTCCTCTCTATCGTCTATTACTTTTCATTTTCATTTTTCTCAAGCACCATGGGCTTTAAGATCTACAGAAAAACTTGGCAGAATTAATAAAAGAGAAAATTTGGACGTAAAGAACAACCCTAATTATCAAGAAGGCTAAAACCTGAACCTTGTTGTACCTCACAATAAAAAGTTATGAATGTTTCACTGTTATGAATTAAGAAACTTCAAATTACAATTTTCTTTGCTTTATCTCAGCAATATATGCCATCAATAAGCTGTGTGCATGTTCTGCTGCGGCATCCTGTGGCTTATGGGTTGTGGAATGCTATTTTTAGTATGACTGGTATTAGCTGGATGATGGCTGGATCTATTATGGAGGAATTGTACGCTTGGGAAGGGATTCATTTAGAAAGAAAGTGGAAAAATCTAATCTTTTATCCCTGTTTGGATTCTATGGAAGAAGAGAAATTCTAGAGCTTTTGAGGGTAAA